AGATGGCCGATGGGAGGTGTGGGGAGAGAAAAGGGAGTTGTGGTTGTCGCCGGATTCCCAGGATGACAAGGGCTCCAAATGGGGAAGAAGGGCCTGGACATTTTCTTTTCTTTTCTTTTAACTAATAAATTAAGAAAAATAAGGAGAAAAAAATAAGATTTAGACACGTGTGCTTATATAAGGATTTGGACTGATAATGTATAGGTTTCATGCGCTCAATTTTTTTTGTTAAACACACGCGTGCCATCTAGCACAAGTAGTGTGTACTAGACACAATTTTAAAAGGTTGCATGTGTAATATGATATTCGTTCTTAAAAAGTGTGTAACAAGGATTTGGGGTATATGTGAGATGGCTTCTTATGTATTTTGCCTATTTTTAAATAAAAAAATACAAGTTTGAATAAAGGGTATTTTTGTCATTTTATGTTTTAATACAAGTATTACTAATATATGTATAAGTTATTCCACTTTCTATCTTACATAAAGCGAAAAAGAAAAATATGAATCAAATATTATATTAGCAATGCTACATTTTATGTGGAAAAGAGGAAAAAATAATCAAATATTGTATAACTTATGCTAGCTTCTATGTGGAGATTATTTTTTCCCCTTTTTTTAACTAAACAATGAATAAAGTTATCCTAATTTAAATATGTGAATAATTCATCTCTAACCGGCTACCAAATGACTTTATTATCAGTTGTGTGAGGCACAAATTGAAATTTTTTGTATAGTTATGACTATGAAATCACTTTGTTTCTTTCACATGATAAGTTAAAAAAGAGAATTAGGAAAGTAATATATGGAGAGATGGATTCTGTAACTTGTTACATCTCTATTGGTCATATATTCACGAGCCAGTAATGAGTGAGGGGAACATGGGATTTAGGAAAGAGACAAATGAGTACAAGTACAACAAAGAGGTCACATGAAATTATGTTGCTGCCATGTGGTGTGCCTTGGTCCTTGTATCACTCACATTTGCTCATATCTTTTGGAGATGGTATATGTGAAGTATAATATAATATAATTATTCAATTTTTATATCAAATTAATAGTTTGCTATAATCATCAAATAAAATTGAAGTAGAAATAGAAAACTTTAAGCAACAATAAAATTGTATTCGTATAACTTATAGTTTACTAGTTTGAATCGTAAAAGTAACCATTAGTATTTGTATTTGGATAGGCTATTTACTTCACACTCTTCGGAGTGCTGCTCTTTTCCGTACCCTACATGAACATAAGATATTTTATACAACGTACTGTCCTTTTATATAAATACGTATCATATATTCATTTATTTAATATCTTCATGTTGCATTGTAGTTAACCTTGACTAGTTTAATTCTTCGTTATACAGGATTAATCTATTTCTTATTTGAATTAATCCTTGTTGCAGAAGTACTTGTCAAATGCTAATCATATTATAATTTTTCCCAAAATATCTTTAGAAGCCTTTCTTCTCCAAAGAGATACCATAAATTCTTGGCGAGAAGATTCATAAGTAGAACATTAAGATAAGCACTGCTTTTGTTGGTATATCACATCTTAGGACTTAGATCTTTGAATTTCATATGAAGCCAAAGTCAATGTCCGGAGGCTCTAGAGTGAAGATAGAATTTACGAAAAATCATTGAAAATAATCCCATTCTTGTGTGTAAAAATGGCCAAACTTCTAAAATTAATTTACTTTAAAAAGTATTTTTTTAAAATACTTTACAAAAAAAAAAAGTATTTTTGGTGAGAAACAATTTGTATTTAGCTTATTAATTTGAAAAACATGTTTGATCAGTAATTAGTGTTTGATCAAACTTTTAAAAAATACTTTTAAACGTATTTTTCTGAAAAGTGTTTTTGGCGAGAAGCTATTTTGAGGGTGTTTGGCTAAGCTTATAAGCTGGTCAAACTGGCTTATAAGTACTTTTTTGACTTATTTACCCGTTTGGTAAACACCAAAAGTGCTTATAATCTAAAATCAACCATAAGTCATAAGTTGGTCACCTCTAACTTATGGCTTTTCAGCTTATAAGTACTTTTAGTTTGACCAAGACTTTTACTATTTAATCCTTAATAATATTTTTTAATTTGCAAAACATTTTTTCCAAAATAAATTTTTTAACTTTCTCTTCATTTCCATATTCGTTGTTTGTCCTTTTCTTTACAAAGAAATTTTTTAATTTATAATCTTTTATAAAGTTTTTAAGGGTATTCTAGTCATTTTAATAAAAGAATAACTTATCAGCACTTTTCTACCAAACACATCAATTGTTTATTATCAGTTTCAGGCTTTCAACACGTTTATCCAAACACGTAAATACTTATTTAAAATATCAATTTCAGCACCTAAAAATGACTTTCAATGCTTCAAACTTATCAGCTATTTACAATCAGCTGATCCAAACAAGCTCTTTTTCTGCTTCTCAAAAACTGTTTCTGCTTCTATTCAAAAATATTTTTTTTACTTCTAAAAGCTTGGTCAAATACCTTTAACTTCAGAAAAAAACATATTTTGCCAAATAAAAAACTTGACCAAACATGCTATTAATATTTGTGTTTTTCTTAATAAGAAAAAGTATTTGTGAAGTTTTTTTCTTTGAAGGTGATCATTCGTCTTGAACCAGTATCTCTCTTAAGCTTAAAGCTTGCTTCCCACTCAATTGCACTTAAATAATAATTAAGTTGAATGATTGAGAATATTGCTTCACCTAATTAAAGTACAGATCTGGATGTCACAACTCACAACCACCAGTGGGAAGAAAAGTGAAATTGGAAGCAAGTTTGGGAAGTATTCAGTGACAGATTCAAACGAGCAGATGCTTAACCAATATTTTTCACAAGCGGCGTGGATATTGAAACGGTAAATATGTGAATAAATTATTTTAATAATATTATATTTTTAAAAATAATTCAAAACATATTAATAAAATATATAATGCAAATATATTACGACAACTCGGCTCAACGGATTTACACTTTTTGAAATATATTTATAATAACCTATTTGGGTTAACTTTTGTAGATGGAAGGCACAAAAAGCCGTACTACTTCACTGGTTTTTCCGGAAACAATATATATTAAACTACATGTCGAAATTGAGACTCGAACTCGCAGCCTGAGCTCGGGTTGTCGGCAAGCGTGATTTTGCATAAATATATTTTTTTTGCTTGTATTTATATATTTCGAAGGTTTGTATTTTTTCAATACAGCAGAATCATCTGAATCCATGCATCATGCACGGATACAAGATATAAACATTGAAATACATTGAATACAAACATTAAAATAGAACAAAATATAAACAGTGAATGTATTTAATTTTAAAATACAGTGAAATACAGTAAAATACAATGAATACAAATAGAAATACAATGAATACAACCAATGGAATATACTGAATACAACAGTAATAACATGTATTAGGAATAACTAAAATACTGTTAATATAAATACATTTAAATATACTGTATATAAAATAGCGAATACAGTAAATACAAACATTGAATCTAATGAATGCAACAGTTAAAAAAAATAAATTAAAACACACTAAATACAAAAGTTATATACAACTGAAAAATCATTCTAATTAATTGGTTTGATAATGAGGCATGTTAGAATTGATTTTGTTGAGTTATATTAGGAGTGTATCACGCTAATTGATATTATTTCTATTATTAGACAGCTGGACATACCTATTTGTAAGGTGATTGTCGTTACTATATTCATGACTACATGGCGCGAATACATGTGCGTACAGCTGGACAGCCCTGATTTTAGGCCCTTTTTGTTGCTGTATTCATGAATATAGCAGCGCGAATACATGTGAATACATGCGCGTACAGCTGGACTGCCCTGATTTTAGGCCCTTTTTGTTGCTGTATTCATGAATATAGCAGCGCGAATACATGTGAATACATGCGCGTACAGCTGGACTGCCCTGATTTTAGGCGCTTTTTGCTGTTGTATTTATGAATATATGGCGCGAATATATGTGAATGCATGCACGTATATCTGGATTGTCCTGATTTTTCGGAATTTTTTGCTGAATACAACAACGCGAATACAACGAATACACTACCGTAACAACTTAATAATAGCTATAGGAAGTAATTATGTATATGGTAGCTATAGGACGTTAATAACCACTAAACAATAATGGTTTTTGAAAATTTCCCTCGCATAAAAAAGCCAACATTTTAGCATTTGACATATGTTAGCCTAAAGTTATTCTCTCTCTTCTAATGGTTCAACCACCATCCTAAAAATAAGCCATATCAAAATTATTTTCCTTAAAAATAGCAAAAAATATTTAAAATCCTCTCTCATCTCTCATAGATACCATCATCCTAGAAATTAGGTTTCATTTCCTTCAGTAGTATCCGAAAAAACTCTCAAATATTTTTTAATTATTTTTTTTAGTTTTTTTATCTGTATATCCAAATATATATAACATAATAATAATTATATTATTTGTATAACATAACAATAATGTGTATATCAAAAAGGTATATTAAAATTTTATTTTCCTTCTTTGTATAACACATTTCAAATTGAAAACTCAAGTTCAAGACGACTCCACACGTGTATCCCCTACTGTATCATGTATATATCATGTATATCATATGTATCTGTGTATATTCATAAAAATTTGTGTTATATATACGATATACAATGTGATATACACGGGTGTCCTAAATAAATTATGTTGTATACACGATATACAAAGTGATATACACAGACGTCCTTAAAAATCTATGTATGATATACACTGATGTACACGATATACAATGTGATATAAACATGTCGCAGTTGGATTTTTAGGTCTGATTTTTTTACCTGAAACCAGTGTAAATCACTTCTAATCTTGCTCAAATTTTGTATATAGCCTCGTTTAGATATTTTCAACAAATTTCAATCACACTTAGGGTTGTTAAAAACCGAACCAAAACTGTTAACCAAACGGAACCGATGGCTTATTGGTATCGGATTATCGGGGTAATTGATGGTGAACGGATTGAGATTTTATAATTAACGTCTTAACAGTTTGGGAACGGATTACTCAGTTTTCTTATTGGATAAACTGTTAATCTGTTAAGAATTTATATATTTATACTTTACCCCTATGTATATAAAGTACTATTAAAACCTAAATGGCAAAATCCCTTCTAATTCTCAATAGAACTGTCGTTTGTCCATAGCTAATGGCATTGGTAGTCGTTTTTGGCTTCTAACGAGGAAAAGCTACCACAACTAATAGAGACAGTTTTGAACTATGCATTTGGCTGATTGGTATTGATTGTTCAAAAAAATTCTATTTGGTTTAGCCGATAAACCGCCCAATAATTGTCAATCGGATACCAATTCGCCCGTTGTCTTATTGGATGGCTAGCAGATTACTATATTTATAATCCGATAACCGATAAGCTGAACCGTTAAGCGTAATTATCCGCCCGATAAGCTGAACCGTTAAGCGTAATTATCCGCCCGATAAGCACCCTTAATCACACCCACTCGTTCAATCGAACCAAAAAAAGAAGAGAGAAGTAAAATAAAGTTGAAACATATTTTCTCTCTTAGATTTTGCTTCTGATTTTCTCTAATGGAAGATAAACCTAACATTTTTATCCCACTGATTTTTTGCATAATTTACAAGAATTTTTACTAAACTATGAGAGCGAAAGAGAAGAGATAGAAGAAGAAATATAAGGAGATAAAGGG